GGATGGGTAAAGATAGAGCCTAATGAGCAAGGAATTGCTTACTAAATATTCATTATGATAATGATGCTGGTGATGGGACTATTTACATTGTCCCCAATCACTGAATTGAGCTGTAGTAATCTTCATAATTTGACTGCATAGAATACAAGTCCCCTTCCTAATTTTGATACACTCCTTGCTTTTCCTAGATTATAGAAGGCTGCATAATCCTTTCATTAGGGAAGTTTAAGTGCCTTATTCTCCTGTTTTCAGTATTCCCTAACTACTAGGCAATGGGAATGTGATATAGGCTCAGGAAATTAGAATCTCCCTCCTAGGAATCTGGAGAAGGTGAAGTAAAGCAAAACAATGACCAATGCTTTTCTGTAATGAAGCTTAGAGTAGGGTCCCTGTGCATTTTTCTTCTAACCAAATTGCTGAGAGTGTATCTCCCAATTTCTGGTTGTCTAGGGAACTGGTCCAGGTTTCCCAACTTGGTCCTCCAGCTGCCAGTACATCTTAGGAGGCCTCCGTGTTCTCCTAAATCATAATATTTATGTTACTTTGTTGAACCAAGCCCAAATTGGCTCCCAGTGATTACAACCAAAGCCCCTGACATGAGTCAAATTGTTTGGAAAAGCAGCGTATTATTATTTGGATAACTGTTTACTGGTTATCTAAGTTTTAATTCAACTATTAATTTTTATAATAACTAGTGACTTGGCTCTATTCAATATTCAGTGCACCATGGGTTTGTATGGGTACCTATAGTTCAACAGGGGCAAAATTATTTAAGTTTTATATCAAAGTAGATTTGTGGACCAAAGATTCCCCAAGATGAATTATTTAAGAAAGAAGATGCACACATCTAATTAATTTTACTTCTGTTCTCCTTTGTCTAGGACAGCAGATACTGACATCTTGGAAACTGATTTCACAAAGGAGAATACTTTCCAATTACCTGTGACCAATTGAATCTGGTAATTCCATTTAGAGGAAGAATCACTGGGTGAATTTTCTCCCCTCTCTTGTCTGCTAAATGAGCTTAATTAAATATTGCCTGAAAGCATACAAGAAAACCCTGGCCCGGGCCTACTTCTGAACCTCCTCCAAAGGAACTGAAAAACATGGGTGGAAGGAAGCATGACAACAGGAAAATTGAGATAAGAGACTAAAAATTTCAGGCATCGAGGGACTCCTTACTGCCAAAAACTTGCCATGTGTTGCTGAGGCAATCAAACACAATATTTTGTTTTTCAAATTTTTCCATATGATCTAATAACAGCTAGTTAGTCAGGATTTTAAAAATATCTCCCTGTGAAGTGATTTACTATATGTTAGGTTTCTTAATTTTCGACTGTTCTAGAAGCAGAGGTGAGGTTGTACTATTGCTTAGGAGTCTAGGACTATAGAAGCTTATAAAACTGTAGCCAATCTTTTTCTACATAAGGTTCACTAATATGTATCAAATAATGACTATATCACAAATATGAAATTAAATTTTTCTTATTCAAATCATGGTAATTTAGAATGAAGTAAATCTAAATTCAAAATCAGAGACCTATTCTCTCTATCCCAGGTTGAAATCTTGTACTAGTAAGATTTAGCAGGGGACAGGTTAAAGAGCTTGAGTGTAGAAATTCTAGAGCTACGCCTCCCAACGTATAGCCACGTCACTTTATTCTCTTGGCCCCACTGAGGAAAGGGGGTGGAGGATAGTCAGACCTATTTTGATTATGAGAATGTGCCTCACTTCAATTTTATTTAGATGAGAGCATGAAAGGGGTGGGGGCCTCTTGAGATGGGGTTAATGCCCTTAGAAAAAGAGACACCAGAGATCTTACTGCCTTTTCTTTCCCCCCTTTCTCTGTTTCTCTGACAAGTGAGAATACAAGAAGAATGCCATCTACAAGCAAGGCTGTGAAATCTCACCCTATCCTAACCATGCTGGGACCTTGTCTTCAGAGTTGCAGCCTCTAGGACAACTGAGAAAACAAGTCCCTATTGCATAAGCACCCAGGCTGTGGTATTCTGTTATGGCAGCCTGAACTGACTAAGATACTATGTTAAGTACTTCACAGAAAAATACTATTTCATGCTCTCATAAGAGCTCTATCAGACAGACATTTAATATCACACCAAATTTACAGCTGAAGAAAGTGAGGAAAGAGAATTTAAGCAATTTGTCCAGTGTCACAGAGCTATTAAGTGGCCGTCAGGATATAAATCTAGCCTGTCAAATGCCAATGCCTGTCCTAAACCACTTTAGTATGATGTCTTCAATGTGTATAACTTTTAATTTCTACAAACTCACCACTCATGAATCAACCAACTTATTCACATTTGTCACATTTATTAATATATGAATTTATATTTCTCTGTGGCACTTTTTTAGATCTAGTGGATCCTGATTTTCCTGCAGTTGCTGTCTTACATATGCACAGTAGGGGCTAGTTTTCACTAGCCATCAGCTATGAGTTCTTCATGCTTTTCATATAGGCATCTAGTCTTCTGCTTATTTACTGGTTGTAATTTGCACCAGATTCTCCATTACCACTGATATAACTAAGATGGTGATCACATTTCTAATTGTCTATACACACCCACCTGTGGAACTTCAAACTTAAACTATTTTAAGCAGACCTTATCTTCTTTATTCCAGTCAAGCCCTTTCCTCTATTTCTCTATCAACAGAAAACTTTCTTAATGATCTAAAATAGAAACCTTGAAGTCACCCTTGCTTCCTCCTTTTCCTTCAACTCTTTAAAGGATTATAAAGTTTACCCCACTCTTCAGTCTTCTATTGGGTTGTTGGAAAAGCAGGACATGTTTCCTATACAAAAATGCATCATGACTTTTCCGACAACCTAACGGTAATAGCGGCTGTAGCACCCTTGAATTCTCAACAGCTTAATGTACTGAGAGTTTATTTCTTGCTCAGATGCAATGTTAATCTCTCATTCATCCAACTCTGAACTACACTATACTGTCAGATTAACTTTCTTAACTGTGGTTCTGATGATATCATTTTCCTCCTCTAAAACTTAAATGATTACTTAATATGTAGAAGAATATGTTTAAAATAATGGCTTCACATACATAATCCTTAAAATTCCCTGCTTTCATTCTCAGTTTTGTTACTATCTATGACACCTTCACCCTGGTTGAACCCATTTAATGTCTATCACCTGAACAGGGTTTGCATTTACTCAACTCTATTCCCTGAGTTGCCTAGTTTTCTAAGCTTGGGATACTCTGCCTTGAACTCTCCCCCTCACAGCCCAAACAAACTTAGGAATAATTCAAATGCTGACTATATTATTAAGCATTAATCTCTCCAGACACAAGCATTCCCTACTTGTTCTAATGCTTAGAGACCTTAAGCCATGTTTCAATCATTTTCTACTTAGCGTGTATAACCTTCCATTAACAGCATCCCCAGACACATTATAAAATACACAAAAGAAGAGATTAACCAGTAGCTAATCTTTACATCTTCTTTTATAACTTGTAAAACTAGCTTAGGAGCTAGGTTAATGGATGTTAAAAAAATGATAATTTAATAAAGAAGATATAATAGAAATTTAATAAATGTCCTGAATTTGTATTAATACCTCATTAATTGAAAGGAAATTATATGCCATGTAGGCAATTTTTAGTGTCTATTCCTGATAGTGAAGCCTTGAGCTAAGCAATAAAATATTTTGGAGCAACAGTTCAAACATCCTGATGTATTCCAGAAGAAATTAAATTCAGAGGGCATCAAGTGCATTTTCTAATTCTTATCTGTCTACTTTGGAGTAGACAGATGAATGTCTGAAAATTTTTGCCCTTAGGTGCAATAAGTAGGAAGAGATATCAAGTCTTTAACAGTAACTATTATGACCATCCTCCAACATCCAGTAACTTAGTAGTCAAGGTCTTGCTCACGTCACACTCTGCGGTATTGAGTCATCGGAAAAGGCATGACACATTTTTGCATAGAAAACCACGTCCTGACTTTTCCAATGAGCTGATATATTGTGAAGCTCTCCTGGGTCTCCCCTGATTCAGGGCACCAAGCTCTTTCTGTTGCATGACTTTGCCCCCTCTGAATCTATTGTTTTCAGTGACATGAATGCAGGAGAGAGAATGAGCCTAGGATGTTCTATACACTTTCCGTGGCAGCACTACTAAGTAGCCCACGTCGCTTTCCTCCATATTATGTAGTCTATTATTAGTCAAGGTCTGCAACTACAGCTAGAGAAAGAGAATGGATATGCTGAACATCTAGTTTATCTCTGGCAGACCAAGTCTCCAGCACCTGGAAAAACTCAATATTGGGATCTGAGAGCTGTTCTGGAAGAGAGTAACCCTTGAAAAAGGCATTCGTGTTGGGTTCGTTGGTAGTGGCAAAATTCCTTTAACATAGGAGTCCTTCAAATAAGGAACAGACCTTCTTTAGTAGATGCCACAGTAGGACCTGCTTAATATGTGAGACAACTATGTATTACTATTCATCTTCTGACTCACCTATACCAACCATGCATCAGACATGTTTACAGCCAAGCTGCACTCATCGTATTGTGCCTTTACTCTTTCTAGAGCCTTTCCTCTTTGCTTGGGCCTGATTAATTTATTTATATTTCTGATTATACCAGGCCAATTCCAAGATGCCCTTCGGAGGTAAAGTGGCTTTGAATTAGGGTGCTCTAATTATTGTCCTTGAACAAATGGGAGATCTCATAATGGATGCGTCTACTCTAGCTCTGATTTCCCACCTGCTGAGGCTCTTCTGTTTTGCTTCTTCTACTTACCTACATCACGTTGATGCTATCCTTTGTCATCTCTGGGATACTCTGACATGTACTGCTTTATTTTTCTGATAGACTTCCATGATTTCACTAGGTGAATCACACACGCCGGTAACAAATTATGACCTGACACACACTATGGTAGAGTGATATAACAGCCAAAGTAATATTTTTAAAAAACCAAGTTCAAGTCCTGCCTCTGTCCAAATGCTCTGAATAGTGTCACATTTCACTTGAGTAAAAGCCATGGTCAATGCAGCGGCCATCAAGGCTCTACAAAATCTTGGTTTCTTTCACCACCTCTTTGCCATTACCTCCTACTATCTTGTCCCAATTTACTTTCCACAGCCACACTGACTTCCCAACTATTTCCTTAAATATGATTCTATGCCTTTCCAGACTTTATACCTGTGACTTCCTTCACCTGGGTCCCTCTCTCATCTATTTCTGGACTTTATACAATCAACTTTCTCAGCAATGTCATCCCTGACCATCCTACTGAAACTGCAACCTCCCAATATTCTAAATCTTATTTCCCTACTTAATTTTTCTCCTATTGATGATCACTTTCTAATATCATATATTTATTTATATATTTTGGTTTGATTTATCTACCCCTAACAAGAATATATACTTCATGAGGGAATTAGACTGTTTTGCTTAGTGCCATAGCTCCAGCATCTAAAATTAGCAATAACAACAACAATAATAATAGACTGGTGTTAGTTGTCATTCAATAAATATTTCCTGAAGTTCTAGCTTTAATAAAGTATCTTTAATTCTGAGCAGAATGTAGACACCCTGAAGTCAAAGACCAGAATAGGCTTTCTCTGTGTTCTCTGTACTTCCTGATGTTTCAAGGGTTTAATAATAATTTACTAAAGAGAATTATCTTTGCCATAGGGCAAGTGCCACCATGCCCCAAAAGAGAATTATCTTTTAATAGTCAAACTTTTTCACATCACTTTTCCAGTAACTTCTTAGCTTTGATAGAAGTCTCTCTTGTCACTTTGGTGCCACATCACATCTGTGGAGGACAGTGGCTTCTCTATTTAGTAGCCATCTGGCCTAAATGTCAGTTCTCTAAAATTTTTAAAGGTTGTGACATTTTGGCCTAAATGTCAGTTCTCTAAAATTTTTAACAGTTGTAACACTGATAATTACCTAAATGTTAAAATACTAGGCCAGCCAAGAAGACTGTGGCAACAGTCATCCTACACAGTTGCCATGGTGATGTGAGTAAACTCATTTTAGCATCCGACACTCAACCACACAATTAAAATAAAAATTAGCACTCCATTTTAGCTTACGGAATGGTACTTGGTACAATGACTAAAATACCTACATTAATATGAAGACTAAGGGCATGAAAAGGCAGAGAAAATCTCTGGTTTTTTTACTGTCAAGGTTTCATTTGTGTTTTGTTTTTATTTTTTGCTATAGGACACATGTACTCACGAGAGACAGAGAGAGAGAGAGAGAGAAATATCACCCCAAGGAGGGATGGACACATACAATCTCTTCTCTTCTAGTATTCTCATGGGATTCTGGGCATGCATACACAGGCCCTCACACGATTTTTCAAACCACCAGGGTCTGAGACTCAAACAGCACAGCTGGGCATGTGGGATCCAGTGCCTTAACCACCATGCCTCCTGTTGACCCAAATGTCATGTTTTGATAATACACTGTTAAATATCCTTTATAGTCTGGCAATTATTTGGAAATATATTTACTAATATCAAGTGCTTTTTTTCTTGTCTGTAATAACTTAAATTCAAATATTTCTAATGCACAATTTATTGCAATAATTTTTAAGTTTCCTTTCCCATATTATGTTTGGAAGGACTGTGGTCTCTAATTCAACTGAGAAGTTCTTTTCCAGATCTGAAGTACTATCCTCACATGCATGTATGAGCATTACTCAAGGGAGAGCCTCTGCAATTCTCTAGAGTCCTCTCTTCATGAAGTTCTCTTCTATGTTCCGGTACTTCTAGGTTTCTTGGCTTCCCTAGATGCAATTCCAGTTTTACCACTCAGAAGGGTCACCTTATTGGTTTTCTATCTCTAGACACTAACTGTCTTTCATTGCTTAATGTCTAGTGTCTCAAATGCTGTTATTTTACAATTTTTTTTCTGGTTTCATTGTTCTTGTTTTTTTGTATTGTTATTATTATTATTATTTTTGGAGAGGTTTTTGCTATAGCTTGTGTGCGCTTGCCAGAAAGACAGAGAGAGACAGAGAAACAGAAAGCGAGAAGTCACCCCCACAGGGATGGCCACACTGCAATCCCCTCTCCTTCACTCTCCCCTTGGGACCCTGGGCACGCACACACACGCACCCAGCATGAGTTTAAGCCACCGGGTTCGGGACTCGAACCGCGGTTGGCTACATGGAAATTCAGCGACATAGCCATTACACTAACTGCTGGCCCCCATTGTTGTTGTTTTTATAAGCAAAAGAGTAAATCTGGTTTTCGTTAATTCATCTTTATTAGAAGCAGACATTTTCCTATTCGTTATCATATTTAAATGTCCTTGGAGTCTTACAAATTGGGTATTATTTTTCATAATCATCCCAGTCTTATCCATGAGGCTACTG